AAATCCTTTATTGACCAAGCTTGTTCGGTCAAGATGGCTGGATATTGGCCTCGTTCTTTTTTGCGAGTTTCCTTGGCTTAGCCATCATGGTACATTTATTAATTAGTGTATACCACACAATTCAACAGTGATTTTTACGAGTTCTGATGGGGTCCCTCGGATGTGATTGCTCAGTACTTTTCACCTCCGAGGAGCCAAACAGAAACGCAATGGCTCCCCGTTTTGCTTTGTCGGTTTTATTGTCAGAAATTAAGTAATTTTATGGTCCGTTTGTTATTCAGCTTGTGTGATATATACTAAAATAATTATTTGTGGATAATGCAATTCAAGAGTTTTCATTGGCTTAGCCTTCATGGTATATGAGCAGTTATACCCACATCTGCACGTGCAAGGAATGTGTCATGCGCAAAAGCTCTGCTTAGGAGAACATGAGGGGAAAGGAGAGTGTTTTTTCGTCATGATTGAAATACCCCAAATATACGTGTCTATTATGCTATAAGTAAAGGATCGAGGAACAACGTAATCTTATCTTGTTGCGATGAAATCAAGAATACAATAAAGAAAGAATTAAGAAACATTTAAACCTTGTGTTCTCCGCGTAGTTAGTTAAGAGGCTGGTTTTTACTAGGGTAGGGTAAGATGTTAATAATTAGCCTCCTAACAAAAGACGCTGCTGAATAGCACCTTACTACGCCTGCGTATGTTACTTATGTACATGCGCTATTGAATACCAGCCTAAGCGGGAGAAAAGGCGCCCCATAAAATCACAGCTGATCAAAACGTAAATTCACTGCCTTGCAAGTTGTGAGAATATTGTTTGTTGGTCACACGCAAGGTCGCTTTGCACAGAGATACATGCAACAAACCTATAAATTTGCACGATAAAACTGCCTTCCCTAACATCGACGCTTTGTTGTTAAAAAGTTTCACCTATACCTTGACGTAGAACATTGTAGACACCCACAAAGGCTATTGATTGAAAAACAACAGCGACGAAGGGGAGAGTGTAAGAAAAGCGAAGAACGGAAAAAGAACTCCACCACCAAGTGAAGGAATGTAAGTTTGCATTTTCAAATGACGTTTTCCAGAATTTAGCGCAATCTGGCTACTTATGGCTTTAAGAGGTACCCCGCCAGAAGGTCGAGTAATAAGTGATCAAAAACTTTGTATCGAGATTATTTACATCGTATTGCAAACTTCTGTGCGACTGTTTTAATATCTTCTCAAAAGAAATCATTTCTAACAACATCAAATGTCGAAAATAAATTTTGAAGTTCATATGAAACACTTGAAAGTATTCAGGGGTGAAGGGAAATTGATCACGAAATTTCACTAGCGTTTG